ACCCTCAGTGCTGGGGACAGAGTCAGCCTGAGGCAGGATGGGGTCCTGTGTGAGCTGGAGATCCGAGGTCTGACAGTGGCAGATGCTGGGGAGTACTCATGTGTGTGCGGGCAGGAGAGCACGTCAGCCACACTGACCATCAGGGGTAAAGACCATGTGTGGCCATGTGAGCCAATAGCTTGGTGTCTGCAGAAACCACCTTCTACTCTGTAGGGCTGTGTGGCTGGGTCTCTCCTTGAGCATCTCCCTGCTGTGGCTGCGGCCAATTTCATGTCCTGATATCTGTGTCCAGTCCTTTGTCTCCTCTGTTACTCTCCTCAGTTTGCCTCTGTCACCATCTGTGCATTCATTCTCATTTGCACGTGGCCCTTTGCAGCTTGTGTGGTCCTTGTGGGTGTCCTTGTCCTGGACACAGAGTCCCGCAGACAACCTTAAGTTCTCTGTGTCACTGTGACCCCCCGCAGCCCTGCCCGCCAAGTTCACAAAGGGTCTGAGGAATGAGGAGGCCACAGAAGGGGCCACAGCCACGCTGCGCTGCGAGCTGAGCAAGGCGGCCCCTGTGGAGTGGAGGAAGGGGCTCGAGACCCTCAGAGCTGGGGACAGAGTCAGCCTGAGGCAGGACGGGGTCCTGTGTGGGCTGGAGATCCGAGGTCTGGCAGTGGCGGATGCCGGGGAGTACTCGTGCGTGTGTGGGCAGGAGAGCACGTCGGCCACACTGACCATCAAGGGTAAAGATTGCCTGTAGCCACATGGACTCATTTGGGTGCCATGGCCCTCTCCTTGTCTCTTGCATCCACACTGACTACCCATGGGCGCTCCCTCCTCTCTGCCTTGAACAATTTCCCTCTCTCTGCTTTCTCCTTGCCTATCACTGTGTTGTCCAGTGTCTTGGTATCTAGGTGCTGATCTCCATCCAAATGACTTCCCTTGATCAGTTCTCATGGTAAAGACAGAATTCCAGCTTGTCCTTCTTCCTATCCTAATCTGTTTATTTTTTCCCCTTTCTAGCCTCTAGTCATGGTCTTAGGGTCCGATTGCCTGATGGGACACAGCCCTGCCCATGGGCATCCTAAGTGGAGGCTGGCATGAGATTTGCCTGGTTAGATCCAGAGCTCCTCCCAAAGCTCCCACCATGGACCCTCCTCTCCCTTGAAGTGGACCCAGACCATGATGCCCATTTTTACCCCTGTCTCCTGGGACCTGTGGCAATGAGTCCATTGGGCATCCAGACAGCTGGGGTGAAGCTGAGAGCCATGCCTGACCTAGGTTCTCAACACGGTTGACTGGTGTAGGGGGCCTGTCTCCGGACCAGGCGTGTGTGGGGCTTGTCTCCTGGCTGGGTCTCTAGACTGACCCTGTCTCCCCTCTGCCCACCCACCCCACAGCCCCGCCGTTGGTATTCAAGGAGCCTTTGCAGAGCCTGCAGGCTGAGGAAGGCACAGAGGCCAGGCTGAGATGTGAGCTGTCTGAGCCCAGGGCTGTGGTCTGGAGTAAGGGTGGCCTGGAGCTGCAGGCCAACGAGCGCCGGGAGCCACGGCAGCAGGGCTGCATGGTGGAGCTGGTGCTGCGGGACCTGCGCTGGGAAGATGCGGGCGAGTACACCTGCACCTGTGGCTCCCAGGCCACCAGCGCCACTGTCACTGTCACAGGTGGGCTCCAAGGTGGCCTCTGCCCTCTGCACAGGCCATGCATGCTTTCGGGGGCCCTCTGGGTTGCAGTCTGTACTGGAGTCCAATCTGAGGGGACCCTGCCTTGGGCAGGGCTGGTGGGTAGACCTGACCAGATGTTCGATTGACTCTACATCCCCCCTCCCCACAGCTGCACCTGTGCGGTTCCTCCGGGAACTGCAGGCCCAGGAGGTGGATGAGGGTGGGACGGCACGCCTGTGCTGTGAGCTGAGCCGGGTGGGCACCAGTGTGGAGTGGCGCAAGGGCTTGCTGCAGCTCTTCCCCTGTGCCAAGTACCAGATGGTTCAGGAAGGCGTGACTGTGGAGCTGCTGGTGCACGATGCAGACCAGGAGGACGCCGGACACTACACCTGTGACACAGGCCACGCACAGAGCACTGCCAGACTCTCAGTTCGCGGTGAGCTGCCCGCGGGTCCCTGCCTTCCCAGGGCCCCTCAGACCCTGTGGAGTGGAGACTGGGGTGCGTTGCTCAGCACTTCTAAGTCACCCTCTGGCCCCCCAGCCCCCAGGCCCATGTTCCAGACTGAGCTGCAGGACGCAGAGCAGGAGGTGGGCAGCCTGGCCCGGCTGTGCTGCCAGCTGAGTGAGGTGGAGCCTGGGGCCCCTGTGCAGTGGCTCAAGGAGGGTGTGGAGCTGCACACTGGCTCCAAGTACGAGATGCATCACCGGGGGGCCATGTGTGAACTGCTGATCCACGGGCTCGAGGCCAAGGACGCGGGCCAGTATGCCTGCGTGGTGGGTGGCCAGAAAACCATGGCCTCTGTCAAGGTCAGAGGTGAGCCCTTCCCTAATAGCTGCCCTGTGACCCCCTCCCCAGGTGCTGTTCCAAGGGTGGCTCTCAGGCCCCAAGGTTATAAGCTCTCTCTTCTCATTTCGGCATCACTCTCCTGTCGACAGTGGGAAAAGGGAGTCTGTGGCCCCTGGGTGCTGCCCTGCCTCCTGCCCCTAGCCGGCAGGTATGGCAGCCTGACTTGGGCTGTCCTCTCTGAGCCCCTGCCTGTCTGTCTGAATGTCTTGCCTTCCTGATGCCCCAGCCAGGGCAGGGCTGGCCGCAGGGTGGAGATGGAAAGAGGCAGCTCCCCACTCTGCAGCCCCTTGCCTACTTCCTCCTAACAGTGATGCTTGAGCCCATCTTTGCCCGTAGGGGGTCTCTGTAGCAAATGAGGTGATGGATGCTATGTGAGGCAGATAGAGGCCATGACAGGACAGGCGTGTGAGAGTATCCGGGAAGGCTTCCTGGAGGAGGGAGAGTTAAAAGTTCACCTGGGTGCTCAGGCCTGACTGGTAAAGGGTCCCATCACCCACACCCCAGAGCCTGAGGTAACCACTGTGTGAGGCCTGGTTGACATGGAGGTGCAGGCTGACAGGGAGGTGGAGTTTAGCTGTGAGGTGTCGAGGGCAAGGGCCACAGCTGCCCAGGGGTGCCTCCAGGACCCGCCACTGCAAAGCAGCAAGGTGGCAGAGGTGGTTGTGCAGGGCGACCCACATGCTGCAGCTGAAGGGTGTGACATGAAGATGCAAGTACAGTCTTCTTCCACGTGGGCCTCTACAAGTCCTCAGCCCAGCTCACTGTGGGAGTGGGTGAGGGTGGCTGCCCCTCTCAGCACACTTCGGAGCCAAAATGTCCAGACCCTGTTGGGAGACAGAGGCAGACTGCAAGGGTCCCTGCTTTGGGGACTGGGAACTAGCCCCATGCATGAATGGTTCTGAGGTGGCCCAAGATGCCAGGGTTGAGTGGTACCCTGTATGCTTATCTGTAGAAATTGGGGTAGGGTGTTGGGGGCAGACTCCAGAACTGGGAGGTGCTCCTGACAGTGGAGCATCCCAGCTGTTGAGGCTGATGCCACACTTCCCTTGGTGCAGCCCCCCAGGTGACCATTCTGGAGCCTCTGCAGGATGTGCAGCTCAGTGAGGGCCAGGATGCCCATTTCCGATGCCGGCTGTCCAGGGCCTCTGGCCAGGAGGCTCGCTGGGCCTTGGGAGGAGTGCCTCTGCAGGCCAACGAAATGAATGACATTACAGTGGAGCAAGGCACATTCCACTCGCTCACTCTCCACAAGGTGGGACCCTGGGACCTGCCTCCATCCACATGCTCCCAGGAGTGTGGGAGGAGAAGATTCCAACTCCCATTGGATTGGCCTGGGGAGTTGTCAGGAGACATGGTATGAACAGGCTGCCAGGCTGAGACCCCATCTCCGCTCCCACAGGTGACCCTTGAGGATGCAGGAACCATCAGTTTCCAGGTGGGCTCATGTAGCTCAGAGGCCCAGCTGAAGGTCACAGGTGGGCAGCCCCCTCCCACACCTGGCAAGGTGATGTCTCCATATCCCTCCCTAGTCAAAGAGCTGTTGGGGGGTGGTGTGGTCAGAAACCCAGGTCTTCGAGCAGTTATTTTGCCTTGGGGTGGCAATTTTCCAACCCCTGACTGCTAAAGCCATGAACTGGATAGCCCACTGAAGCGGGCTGGTGAAGATCAGCTTGGGAGATTCTGGTGTGCATGTGGGGTCCCTGTTTGGGGGTTAGTGCTGTCTGCAGGAGGGAGATGGGGAGCCTGGCCATGGGGGCAGGGGGTTGGGCCCTAAGGTGGAAGCCCTCTGTATGGCTACTCCTATGGTCATCTTAACACACATGTGCATACCTGACAGGCTCCCAGGTGATGGCGCAGTAGCATACCTGTGACACATGTACAGTTTTGGGTATAGTGTAGTTGGCCTCAGGCATGCAAACAGGATTTCAAGAACCTTCAACTTAGATTATACCTTGTCTGCAGAGCTGGTTATTCTTGAGTGTCCCTCACCTGCTGTTCTACTCCTGGTTTTCACACCAGTCCCGTCCATTTAACCAACTATCCACTATCCATCACCATTCATCCCTCATCCACCCACCCACCATCCATCCATCCACCATACTTCATAATTCATCCATCCATCCATCCATCCATCCATCCATCTATCCATCATCCATTCATCCAACACGTAGCATCCATTCACCATCAACCATCTATCCATCCATCCACCATCCATCCATCCACCATTAATTTCTATCTTCCTTCCATCCACCATCCATCTACCATTTACCTATCTATCATCTACCATCCATCCATCCACCAACATCCATCCATCAATCAATTCATCTATTCAACCATTTATCCATCCATGCATAAATCATCCATCTACCAACCATTCATCTGTTCACCTATCGACTCATCTGTTCACCATCTACCATCATTGAACAAACTTTCTAAGCCTCTACCCTTGTGTAAGTCTTGGATCTTCAGAGGGGCCAGGTGCAGCTCTGCCATCATGGAGCCCCCAGTCCACTGGGATAATTGGACATTAGAGACAAAGCATGTCCTGGGTCTTCAGGGGTGAACAGATATGGCGAGTTCTGTGGCCTCTGGTGCTGGGAAAGACTCTGTGGTCTCTGGGATTGGGAAAGGCCTCAAGTTGAATGATGGGAGATGGGCAGTGTCCTAGGTATCGTGATCTGGCTGGGCCAGAAAAGGCTTTGTGTGTTCATCAGCATGGTTGGTTGTGAGGGAGGACATGGAGCTGGGTTGGAACTTATGCAGGGTTGTGCCTTGACCCCTGTCAGCCAAGTCCCAGCCTGTGCCAGCTGACCTGTGTACAGACACCTGGCCATGTCCTTGGGGGAGGGAAATGGCATGGGGTGTCCTGATAGGTGTTATATGGACCAGCTAAGGTACAGTGCTGGAAGTGGGAATGGGGAGCTGGTGGAGCAGTCAGGGACTGTCAGATGTGCACTCTCAGAAGAAGGTTGGGGCAGGTGGAGGGCTGGGGCTGGAGTTTTGGTGGTGAATGCCCAGAAAGGGCTTGGGGAGGTTTCTGAGGAAGGCCTAGCTGAGGCAGGTGTGGGAACACAGATCAGGCAGCAGCCGGGTTGGGGAAGCCCCCGCGCTAGGGCCTGCTGTGTGCTGGGGCAATAGTTGCCATGGGCATTAGGGCCCTAGAATTTTAGGTCTGGGGACCACAGGTGACATCTGTCCATATGGCCTTCTGGGAATAGAAGAAGCATCTGCTTCCACACCTGCAGGGATGGAAGGCTTACTACCTGAGGCAGACCCTACCCTCTCAGAGTGGCAGACCCACAGCCTCTTCTCCCTGCCCACCTCGTAGCCATGGGGCTTGGGCCTTGTTCATTCTGATTGCTGAGGAGGCAGTGGACACATGCCTTCTGTGTATTTTTGTGAAACCAGGTGTATTCTGGAGAGGGGTGTGAGTGCAGGGACACTGAGCCCACTCTCTGTGAGTGGTTTGAATGTATCATTCCATGAGCAGGTGGGATAGCTGGCCCGAGTTGATCTCTAAACCCCAGTGCCAGGGATCCCCAAAATGGTATACCCCCTACATAGTCCTGTGGGCCCAGGGCACCCAGCCTGCCCTCCTATTGCCCTCTTGTGCAGAGGCAGCGCCATGCCTGGTACGTGGCTTGCAGAATGTGGACGTCTTTGCGGGGGATGTGGCCACGTTCTCCTGTGAGGTGTCCTGTGCGGGTGGGCCCGAGGCCTGCTGGTGGCTGGATGGGACTCTGCTGCAGGACAGCCCCCAGAGTGCCATCTGCGTGCATGATGGGACGGTTCATTCCCTCACCCTGTCGGGCCTGGGGGTTGCTGACTCAGGCACCATCACCTACCGTGCAGGGCCCCTGGTCTCCACGGCCAAGTTGTTGGTCAAAGGTACCGGCCGATGGGACCCCGCCTGCACTAACGCTTCTGCCATTGCTGCTCCTGCAAGCTTCCTGCAATCTCCGGGGCAGGGGGTTGGGGACTGGCATTGCTCCACACATGCCATGTGTGGACACTCAGGCAGGCTGCAGTCCTGCTTCCTGGATGAGAAAGAATGCTTGGCTCAGAGCATAAAGCTGGGAGGCCAACTTCATGCCCACCTGCTCGTGGGATCCTGAGTGCTGGTGCCACCTGGTCGCCACTCTGCGGCTGCACCTATCTCAGGCGTGTACCCAGAGGGCAGCCTTCCCACCTTGCCCCAGCCTGCCCTATCCCTGCTCGTGGCTGCTTACACTGCTGTGGTTTGGGTTGGGGGTCTTTTCTCTTTTGGGACAGAGCTAGCCATTGGGGAGGCAGTGGGTTGCCAGGAACCCCTCGGTCCACTCCCAGTCGGGTGCTCCTGGGACGGCCGCTTGGTGTGGCTTCACCTGGCGTGTTTGCAGATGGGTCTTCTCTGCACTGTTGAAGAGTAAATTGACATCCTCCCAGGTCCAAGGAGCAAACCATTTTTTGAGTAGGATTTTTCCTACTCAAAAAGATGGGATGGGATGGCGCCCCCTGGAGGGGTGGAGAAGCCCCTGAAAAAGGGACAAACTGGGCTGGGGGTGCTGCGGGTCCAGCAGATGCTGAGGGCCCCTGAACTTTTAGGAGGAGGCATTGTGTCCCTGCTGGTGCCCCATGCTCCCCAGGCGCAGGGAGGAAAGGGCTCAGGAGGTCAGAGGGGCCAGGAGGGGACAAGTGGATGGAGGCCGTCTGCCGTGGGTGGGGTGTGTAGGGGCAAGGCTTGCACTATGTGGAGGGTCCTGGGCCACCATGGCCAGTTCCTTTCCTGCCAAAGCCCCTCGCTTGCTTGCTGATGAACTGCTGCTGCTGACCGCAGAGGGCGGGTAGGCGCTGGTCACACGGCTCAGGCTTACACGTGCCCGGCGTGTTGGCCGACAGATCCCGCAGTGGAGGTGGTCAGTGCCATGCAAGACCTGGCGGTGGAGGAGGGTGGCCCAGCCGAGCTCCTCTGCCAGTACTCACGGCCAGTGCAGGCCACGTGGAAGATGGACGAGCAGGAGGTGCGCGCCGACGGGCGTCGCGTCATCATAGAGCAGGACTGGACCGTGGCCAGGCTGTCCTTCAGACCAGCCTTGCCCTGCGACAGTGGCATCTATTCTTGTGAGGCTGCGGGCACCCGAGTGGTGGCTCTGCTGCAAGTGCAAGGTGAGGCCGCCCAGCAGGCAGCCCAGGCCTAGCAGGCTTCGGCATGGCCAGACAAGACGCAATGGTGGAGCATCGGGCAGGGGCAGCCAGCAGAGTGTGACCGTGCCAGTACTGGAAAGATGAGATC